ACACAGTCTTCCTTTGGGTCCCTTCCCTTTTCTCCCTATTTGACTCCAACTCTAACATCCTTTGTCCAATATATCCAGTATCTTTTCTTTAACCTCAGAATTATTTCAAGAATCTTATGTGTGGGTCGAAATACAGCCTCTTTCTAAGATTCCCTTACATTACTTTTTTGCTCCAAACCATCCAGCTTGTCAGTCTGTCACAGTCTAAACAACAATAAGGTAAATGGAAACTTTCGGAGAGAAAGAAAATCACAGTAACACTTCATTTGCTCACTCGGCTCTCGCTTCTACCCAACTCTCCTATGAATGAGTGATTGCGTTGTGGAATTCCTTGTGGCTCGGGCCTTTTGTTGGGATTGCATCGCCCAAATAGTTTCCACCTCACCACCCCCACTCATACCTAGCGCAGACCCATTTTATTTATCTGACACGTCTAGTCGTTAGACAGGGCGAACACGCATGGCTGCCCCGGTGCCCAGGCGGAGTGGAAAAGTGACGGGCTGACAAACGGGCAAGTGTGGACAGATGTTTGTTGTGTCTAGACGGATGACTGCGAGGCCGTCATGATGGCAAGTTGAACTGGTCCCAAGGGAGACACAGTATGAACCCATCATGGTGGTATTATGTGGGAGGCAACCTGGACAGGAGTGTATTCAGTTTCATTGTTTGACCGAGGCAGTGTCTGTGTGTGTGTGTGTGTAAACTTTTGACATTCAGGTTCAGGTTGATCATGTTGAACGACCTGAGAGTCAAGTGCAACTTCTGAGCAAATGATAAAAACAAAATTGCTCAAATGTCATGTTAGTAACAACTGTTAAATGTGGAAAGGAATAAAGAAATTGCTAAAAGCAGGCAGAGACACTTGATGATTACCAGACATCAAGCTAATGTTTGTAAAATGCAAAATTAAGCTACAATTAGTTAGCTTGATCACCTTAAATTAACCTATGATGAAAAAAGTATATAAAAAGTAAAGATAGTAAAAAAGTAAAGATAGTAAAAGTAAAAATAAATAAAGCAAATAAAATTTCTACAGTTTATTCGCCTCAAAAACATGTATAAAACTAAACAAGGATATAAATTTTAGCAAGACTAGGGTTATGTGTCGTTAAATGGACATTGTAACAAAATTAGCCGTTCTTATCATCAGATTCATGTGCACCAATAACAGACAACAGAACAAGCTATTCATACAAATATTCACCGTGCTCTGGAAGATATTTGTTTTCAGCTCAAGATGCATAAAAATGGCGTTTTTGAGATAAGAAAGTGAAACACAAAACCTACTTCCAGCAAAACAATACTGCCCTGAGAAAGAAAAACATTTCAGTTCAATTCAATTTGCTTGGTAATATCATTCAATTGGTTTTGTTTACGTGTAACATAGTAATACAGTCCACAAAACAGTGTTTATCTGATTGATAAATTTTACAAATAACATTGTTAATATTCTTCTGGTTATTTTCTCAAAAATGTGATTTTTTAAAACGGTTTAGAAGCATCGTAGTGCTTTGTGACATTTGTGATAGAAACAACTATATGTCTAATAAAATGTACAAGTGATGTCAGAGACACCACTGCCACTAAAGTAGTATTTATTTAGCATTTTGAATGAAAAATTGGCCGTACTACTTCTCTGGTTGTGTTAGCAGCTGTTACTATTGAAATACAACTTGCCTTTGCTTTTAATGACTTGTTTTTTAGTCTCCTCTCATCTGGCCGAAAGAACAAATGGTTCCAAGACCAGAACAATCTGTTTTAGCGAGAAATGCAGTGCTAAGTGTTCTTTAACTGCTTCCTGCTAAGTGTTTCAACCTCTGCTACATTTCACTGAGGCACAGGTTTGTGTGTTCCACTGCCGACATCAGCCTTTGTTTACCTCCATCGTCGCGAGTGTTTGGGATTAGCTCTCTTTTCTCTCAGACACTGATGTCTCTCTTCATTTCTGCGTTATTTCATTTGGACCGGAGAGAAAACGAATCCCAGAGACTTGAGTGTGTGATGAGGTGACGAGCAGGTGTGTCCACAGAGGTCATGATCTCTGTCAGCGTTAGAGCCGGTGGCTGTTATTCCACTGGGGTTCCATAAAAAGCTGCAGTGAAATTGTCTCCATGTCAGACTGTGATTTGTATCCCAGTCAGTGACCCAAGGAAAATCGGGTATGTCACATTTGTCACTGGCCAAAAGAAGAGAGAAAGTGGTCAAGAAGGGTAGACGCTGGTATGGATGGATGGATGGGGGGGGGCTGAACTTCAGCAGTTCCCCACGGCCAGCAAATGGCCCAAATCTCTGGCGTCTCACTCTCGTTGCCCTACCCCCACCGACGATTACAGTGATGAATGGGACATTTAATATCACCCCGCTTAAGGGTATTACTGGAATGTATCTGCTCCTCCTGAAACACTAAAACAACACTCAGACAGACGGATTGTCACGAACTGGTGTCAGTAAACAGTCTGTAAGGAGATCTAGCCATATTTAATGTTGTTTCTCCAAAAGTACAATATACTTAATGAGGCATAAAAGGGCTGCGTACATCTGCAATCCATCCTATTGTTATTGACAGTGGTGTTGAGGAAACAAAACAGTGTAACACCTGATCTAACATGTAGAACTTTTGTAGAACTTTATAGTTGTTGCCCTATTTAAAAAATGGGTCCAAAGTTCTCTGTGAGGTTAAGGCAACATTTGAAGACGTTAAAAATAAAACCAACAAATCCTGGTATATTTTGGTTCTTATATGGTATCATGGACGTTACATATCACTTGTATTGTCATCCTTCACTGCAGTCATAGTAAAACCTGAAAGCAGACTAGAAAACCTTCAGATGGGACATAGTAAATATACAGTAAGTTAGGGATGGCTTGATCCGATACTCAGGATCGGAATTGGTCTGATATTGATCAAAATTTCAGGATCACACGCTGAAAAGAACTATACCCCTTCCAATTTAATACCTAAGGCCAAATGCTTAACTTAACTTTGTGCAACATGCCATAAATGAGGCATGCTGGGGGAGAATAGAAGGTATTGGATTGATATCGGGATCAGCTAATATTTTAAGTTGCCTCAAAACTAGGTTTCCTCCACACGAGAACTGTTTTTGGTTGTTCTGTCATGACAGTTTTTTAAAACGTTGAAAACAGCAGTATGTACAGTAACTCACTGACATATATGGGGGCCCAGTTCACATGACCGAGAGTCATTCAATATACTCAAAGCCATTATTCAAGGTGTGAGCCCTGTTTCTTTCTCTTCTCCGTACATCACCAGAGCTCAGGTAATGTGACCCCACAGTGAAATGTATCAGTGTCAGTGTCAGATGACTACATGTACACAGGCATTAGGAAACAAGCAGGCACTGCAGTGTGTGCACAAGAGCAAAGACAATGATCATACACTGCATGTCCTGAGGGCAACGCTCCCTGAATTCCTCTCCTGTAATGGGAAGAATCAGGGGGAAAAACATCGTTATGGTGACCAGTCAAAATCCCACACCCATGTGTGTCTGTGGAAATCTACAGTTTACCTTTTCACCAACGAGGAGGCCAGACACTCGCTCATCTTTTCGATCTTCATAAGTGGACTGCACAATCTCCTGAGGAAGTGTTTAAAACCAGAATGGTCTGGTCTGATCCAGACTCTCCTCTTTGATCCGCCGTAATATTTAACAAACCGTCGCCTTGCTGCAGGAAACACTGACTTCATCATCTACTTCAGTGTCGCTCACTCATAAATCTTTTTATTGGCATGACTCACTGCTGTCTCTTTCCCCAACCTTAGACTTTAAAAGAAACCACACATTCTGCACTGTCTAAATACTAAGGCTTTAGTATCATCATGTTGACGAAGGTCCAGATTTTACTGATAAATTTTGCTAAATATATTGTAGATTTAGAGCTTCCAGTGGTCTGGATGTTTTAAACACAGACAACACAGGTGTCAGTTTCATCCATTGTCCCCTGAGTGTTGACCATGGAAGGAGCTTTAGCTGTTTTACAGGGGTGTTTTTGCATCTGTTTTGAGGGCGTGTTTTTGATTGTGTTTAAGACATGTTCACCTTTACGTGGCAAGAAGCTTGTCTCCAGGTATCTGTATTACCATTTAAAATTAAATTCATGCATAAACAAATGTCAGATGTGCACAATAAATGGCTGGGCCACATCTGTAATCGAACTAGAAATGTCTTAGTGAGACTCTGTGATTAGTAACATTTGGAGGATGTTTTTGATTTCATATCCAAAACCAAAGTATTCACCTCGGAGCACAGCAGATATCACAGTAGCTTCAGCTAACATTAAAGCCAAGTTTGTTTTTACTAAATGGTAAAAGAAATGGACTTGCCTGAATAAGTTATCTATTAAACAGATGTATTTAACCACAAAATCAATATTTTTATTTAAATTTGCTATATTATATATGTATATTTATATATTAAATCACAATATTTATGTATAAAGTGACAGATAAACACTGATGTTTCTGATACATATGGTCTTTATAGAGAGGAAACTCGGAGAGAGACAGAGACCATCCTTACATCTCCACTAGAGGACACAGGGAGAGATCAGACAAACTGAACTCTCTTCTGAGCTCCCCATCTTTTTTTACAACTTTTTTTTCCCTCAGATAAATCCATTGTTCTTTGTGTTTGTGACCTCAGCTTGTTTCCAAACCCTTCCTGTTTCTGTGAAGCACCGATCGGATGCTGTCGTCAGCTCCTCTTCATCCCTCCATACAACAAAGAGTTTTGTGACGTTTAGCCTTTAAATCTGTGTCTGTGTTTTTCTGGATGCATGTATTCGTGTGAGTAATCCAGTGATGCACATGCAGTACTCCCATCTTTTGGCTGAGGGCGGACTTTCATCACTGTTCATCATATTGACGGATAGATAGAACAAAGTATGACTAACGACTGTCCATTTTCTCTCTTTGATTTCCATCTTTCTCTTGGCCACTTCCTTTGGTCCCTCCTCCTTTTGGCTGCTCTGTCTCTCAGAGGACCTGGATGACCTCAGGATGGAGGGCGTGACTGGCTTGGTTTCATCAGGCAGTAAATTCAGTCAGGGACGAAGCGCCTATCAGCCTGAACCACAGGCTAAAGTTACACTCAACATCTGCTCCAGGTGTGCCAGGTAAATAAGTCTGCCTTCTGCTGAGACACAATATCAGATTTTTCTATTGTTGATTGATGGATTGGTGGTGTTACTGCTTAAATCTAGCTTTTAAAAAATAAGCTTTTGTTATCACTATCTGCATATTTTGTGACCTAAACTGTCTAGAAGAGTTGAATGAGGCAACATATATCATTTTAATGTCCATCCAATCAACAACAGACGAGTGTTAATTTAGTTTTAGCACCAACAGACAAGACTTCATTACTGTACAACATTAAGACTCAACACACAGTAGTAGATGTTTGTGCCCGGCTTGCGGTTGTGGGGGCTTCAACTAATACTTTTTTTCAACTACGATTAATCGTGATTATTCATTACAATGATTAATCACAGTTAATCGCAATTTATCCATGGCTACCCAATTATTAATTAAAAATCATAATCTTTTTATAAACTTGACACAAACAGACCTTCTAGTTGGTATCTCAGCCCATAAATACCTGTACTTTCTCTTTAATCTAAAGAAGAATTTTGAAAGAGTTATCAACCGTCATCTTCTTCTAACCTTGTATGAGTTGAAATGACTGGGATTCCAGCTCATCAGGTACAACACACAGCAAACCAAATCATCCAAGAAAGAGAATAATATCATATCTGACATCCGTTCTGTAGTTGCTTGTTTCTGCAGATCTGCTCTGCTCTGGATAACCATCTCCATTATCACTGTTTTTCTCTGGTGACACATTTCCTGTTTGCCCAGCATCTCTGTAGCACTCAGATTTCTGTATGCTGGGTGTGATACCACACAGACAGGTGTGGGCAGGCTTTCTCCTGATGCCAGTCGCAGATAAATAGACCCAAACAGCCTCCACTGTTTGGGGGTTTGGAATTTGTTTGTTTCCTGCTCTTCTTTCATTCAAGCTGCTTATCTGTTTTGTTCCGTGCACCGGCTGCGGGACGTTGGCAGAGATTCTGTAAGAAGAAGCATTGTACTGCTGAGCAGTTTATGGACTGGAGGTCTTTTTAAGCAAATAGTTTACTTCTCTGGGTTATCGTTGAGTTCTCTGGTCTGAACTGTGGCAAAAGAAAATCAGCATCTGTATCTGCAGTCCTTTTTGGCTCTGGCTCTGGGGTTTTTTTTCCTAAAAATGTCAGACATCTGTTCTCCTTCCCTGTCTTCCTCTGTCCTTCTGGTTGGAGCCAAATTCCTGCTCCGTCTTCTTGAACCTGACCACCAAATCCTTCCCAAGCTTTTCTGGCAAATTCTTGAGAAGTCAAACTCATTTTTCGGTGAGTGTAGGCTTCATAAATAGATCAGTAAGCTGGAAAAGTGCTGCACGCATGGAGTGCCTTTAGTGCTCTTTCTCTGAAGAGACAGTTTAGTGAGAGTCCTGGCGTTTGTGCACAAGTTCACAGACCACACTTGGAGTCCACACATTCAACATGTGCAAGCGTGTTCTCTCACGCAAACGCACATCACTGAGACAGAAGATGGTTTGGACAGAGGTCAGGGAGTAGTTAAGAGGCCGGCATTCTTAACACAGGCATTGTGCTCCGAGCGCAGTAGTACTGTCCTGATGAGATTCCCAGAGGGGTTTTCAGACAGAGCACAGTATGTGGTCAATCTTTAAACTTGCTCTTCTGAAGATAAACATGTGGCCTTGTGCGTCACACCTGCAAATAGAACTACTGTATAGATTTGACCTCACAGGTCAGGTCAAACTTTAAACTTGATTTGTTGACAGAGTCAATTCAGTGGATTCTTTATGACATTATATAACTCACACTGATGCAAACAGGACTAAAGGGACAGACATTCTGCACCGAGCTACTCATCCTTGCTTCAACAGACACATTCAAATACAGTCTTTCAGGGCTATAGTACTTACCAAAGACATTACAAACACACTGTACAGACCACTGAGCAAAATAATCACATTTCTAGAAGGTTAAAAATGTACAAAACAAACAAAACTCCTTTAATCTACAATTTAAAGGGTGGTGTATTCCATGACCCAAAGAAAAGTCATAGAAAGTACTAATTCTTGCATACAACTAATAACTAACTTGCAGCCAAAAACTACAAATAGCATGCACATAAAATGACCACAACATTTCTGTGTTAAAGACCTTTGGTAAAAAGTTTTACTTGTGCCATTGTTTTCCACAGAGAAAAAATGGATTTTGTGCAACCTGTGCTCTAAAAGTGTTGATGGTTTAAATCCCAGCCCAAATGACCTATGGTGTTTGATGTATAAAATATTTGGTATTTATAAGATGAAAACAAGAGGCACTGTACTAGGAGCAGTACTCTTTCTTTTTAATTTTTAAAGTAAATAATGTGACCCTGAATGCTTGTTTGTGTAAATGTGTGAAGTCTTATAAATCCTCATCTTTCCTCCTTTTGCCCTCTGACATGCTAAAGGATTTGAATGGGTGTGTAAATCAGGTCTCAGGATTTGACGCCTTCATCTTTCCTTGTCTACCAAGATGCTTTCGCACTCACAACATTAGGACAACTTTTTGGTTCCTCGCCAGCAGAATTTTCAAAATTTATGACAGCACTTATGAATATTACTGAGTAAGCCCATCAGGAATCCACCAGGAATGCAACAAGTAATCCTTGGAATTATGCATTTTGGCCAAAGCTCAGTTAGAAGGAGCCTGACCTTTTTTCACAAGGCCTGGTTTCAAATGCAGCTCTGGAAGAATCCCTGTACAAGGCGCCTTACTCTAAGTTCCCTCATGATAAATAGGGCAGAGGTCTCAACCTGTTTAGTTGAACACAATGCTGATATACAGGAATTGATGAAAGACTCATCTTTAGCGGCTGCTTTAGCATGGATAGGGTTGTAGTATATATGTCATAATGAATAGTGGTTGCTACTGTGTTTGAATCGTGATCGTTCTCTGCATACTTTGCGTTTCCATGGTGTTGCAGTTAATGTTTAACTGTATTTTTAATATATATCTGTTCTCTGATTCTGCTAATCAAGCCTTCCTGTTGTTGATAAATTGATAACAATGATCACTTTGGGTGTTGAAGGCTGAAGACCTCTTTTTAATACTATTTAATAGTGTGTGTTGCATCCTGAAGGCCAGCCCACTGTGTGAGAGGCTCTTACAACCTGCATTCTTTTTTTTCTCTTTTTTCCACTTACCCCACTTCATCAACAGTCTAGTCTCCTTGTGTGGCTCCTAACCAGCAGTGGCAGGTCAGGAAGCTCTCCTCTTCCTTTGGTTGGTTAAAGTGTAAAGTACCATGTGGCCTGTCTGTTGCAGGCGTGTCTCTGTCTCTCGGGCTATGGCTGTGGTCACGCCAGCATTTCATCAGCCTCCTTCATGCACTCAATCAGTTGTTTTTAATGGCTGTGTGCTTTTGCCGCAAAACCTCCCGTGTGCAAACGCATCCCAGATTTTCGGACATAGTCCGCAGTTGTTGGAACCATTCGAGGAAATGGCTAATCTCCCCCCAAAACCCCTTTTGAGCTTGTAGTTCTCATTAAATTAATTGCTTTCATATCAGGAATGTACTGAGGGAATGGAAGGCAGCACTCACAGCAATGAGGAAGTTTTGTTCAGAGAAGGTTTTTTGTGATAGCCATCTTAAGTAGCATTTAATGGGCTTTTAAAGTCCATTTAAGAGACAAAGAGAAGGATTAAAAGGAGAAAAAAAGAGGTCTGTGTGCTGCTTTTATGTTATTTGTAGCAGCAAAAGTCTGGATCATTGTGGCTACAAGGAAATGCAGCTGTGCTGCAAGTAAGTTTTGGAATTGATTTTATTCTGTCTTTACCTAAAGGCTGTACTGGGGACAGGGAAGAACATGCAGCCAAAGAATTTGGAGCAGAAGTGCTCTGTAATTAGGCTTAATATGTGCTATGATTTACAGTTGTATTTAATGTGCGTTAGACAAATAAATGCTGGATTATTTCCATCCTGTGCGTAATACTCAGTAGAAGTTCATATATTTAGAGAAAAGCCACATGTGACATGTTTATCATTTGACAAACTTTTTTTTTTTTTTTTTTGGTCCACAAAATCAATTTTTCTATGTACGGGAAACACAAATCTTTTATTGCCTCAAGGACGTGGCCACATCTCTCAGGCCAACTTCAGTATCATACCAAACAACATGTTTTTCTTATAATATATGGAACACATTATGACTAAAAACGGTAAATGAGTGATTTAACTGTAATCTGTAACCCAAAGTTTTCAGTATAGATATTCCTGTAAGAACTCTAAAGCACTGGGCAATTCCTGTTTTCTTGGAATCTTAACAAACGCAAGAAGAAACTTGACTCCAGACAGAACAAGTAGTGATTAAAAGACAGAATTCTGTTGTGTAAATAAAAAAAGAATAAAAGCCTGATCTGAGTGGTCTGTCCTACAGGACAGAAGTGAGATCCCAGCACTCTGCCCACAGTCTAATCAACACGTGTTTTAATTTACAGTCAGTCAAAAGAGATTGATTTCTATTTCTGGAATATGTGCCTGAAAAAGCTTTGAAGGTCTATCAATTTTAAGAACAATTATTTTTTAAGCATGTTGAGGAGATGGCCAGATCTTTCAGACCAGCTGAAATTTCAGTCTGAACTTCATTTTTTTATAATGCTTGGAAAAACATTTGACTAAAGCAGTAGAACAGAAACCGTGACACATGTTAAAGCAGTAGAACAGAAACCGTGACACGTAAAAAAAGACACAAAAAAAACAAAACAAAAACAATTGTGGTTTATAATCTGTCACCTGAGTCACATGTGACATTTTTATGTTTTTGTAGAAAGTACTTTTCCCTTACTGCAGTTTTTATTCACAGAATTATTTCCTCGTCAATGGGAAACACAAATCTTTAATTATCCAGGAGAGACAGCCAAAAACTCTGAGAACAGCTTCCATTTCAGTCCAAACAAATATTTCTTCTAAATGAAAAAATGCTTGGAAAACATAATGACAAACAACAGAGAACGAGTGATTTACCGGGAATCTGTGCTACAGGGCTTTTGCCGTATTGATTTTCCACTAATCAAATTTGGTTTGCAGAATTGGAGTGGGTCGATATTCATGGGTACTATGAGTTTTCACATAAATTATCAGAATTTGTTCAGACAGAAATATGAACTTAAGAGTATGGGTGTAATTTTTACACCTACTGCCTTAACTCAGTCATTTAGTCCTTGCCTCTGGATCAACACATGGATTTTCTAATTTCTCTTCTGAAGACTAATGGATTCCTTAAAATATAATTTTCTAACTTTTACGTTTTAACATTTCTTGTAAAGTTCAGTGTAAAAGACAGTGTAACAAATCCAAAGTGTCATCCTGCTGCGTCTCACTTCTGCTTTATTATAAATATAAGGAACATGTTGTGTTTTCTAGTGTGTTTGACATTTATCACTCAAACAAACAGCGACGCTTGTTTGAAATACAGATTCTGTCCTAAAAGTGCGGAGTACGAGGAACCTGGGAACTGCTCCCAAAACACTTCCCTTTGTGTCATCACCCACTGTCTTGTCTGTTTGTTATCGGGCGTTCACTTTCCAAACATGCAGCTCAATGTTGTGGCTAAGGGGAATGCTGATGTGAGCGATAACTCGAAGGCATCCATGAACGCCCGTGTATACAACCTGTGTTTTTCTGTGTTTTCCAGGTTGCAGGGTGACAGCCTATTGGACCGCAGACCTGAAGAGGAGCGCAGGACTCGCACATCTGAACAGGCCGTACCTGATATCTCCTGTAGGTTTGAAAACGCAGTCCCAGTTCTCCTGTGTTTCTTCCTGATGCATTTCTGTCATGTCGCTTCCTGCCTCATGTCCTGATATGTTTCTTGTTTTTTATTCTTATTCTTTATTATCTGGAGCAGCTCAGCTGCCTGCTTTGGACACCATGGTGGGAGGGTTGCAGGAATGCGACGCCTTGTCTCAAGTGTCAGGCTCTGTAAGTGTGCTACCCTACATCCATCACCAAACAATTAAGATCACTATACAGCCATCAATTACTGTGTCACCCGCTCTTCTACGGGCTCTTTTGTCTGAGGCTGAGTGAATATCACCTCAAGCGTCTTGTTATTAGAAACAACTGATCCATCTTCATGTGGGAATTTTAGCTCTTCAGCTGACACAGGGCTTGATGGGGCTGAACAATTGATACCCCAATACCACATCGCCCTGTATCACTTTGCTTACCTCTGAGGGCTCTTGTGTGGAAGCTGAAAGGAATAAATAAAAGAATATCTTGTGACACGAAGACAATTGAGACTGATTTAGAAATTGGACACAATGAAGCTAAATTTTTGCCTGGTTATAGGAGAACACGGCCTTTTGTTCATTATGAGGACTGCGTGATAACCTTCGCATGCTTCAGGCGTGAAATCTATAGAGCAGCTAATGTGGCCCACACCAGACTCAGGCACAAACTCACACTCACATGCTCTTAATAAAGCTGTTAGCTTAGACGCCTTTACCTTTATATAATTATACCCACCAAAAAAAAAAAAAAAAAGTAAAAAAATGTAATACCTTTTAATAATTACCCAGCGTACATGTTAGACAGAGTGTTTTACAGCCTTATTTTAAAAGTGGGTATTGGAGCCAGGGCGTTGGTGCGTGTGTGGAGCAGATGCAGAAAGGCTCCAGACTAACTGGGAGCAGACGCAGAGAGAGTGACTGAGCTGCTGCACTCACGGCCTGTCAGCCACACGACAAAAGGAACCAAGACATCAACCAGAAATCAGAAGCTCTCTGCACCTTGGCGACATCCAAATGCATTATTCTGCTATCCTGAAATTGAATTGAATGCCTTAAACGTCTTCAAAAAAATACTGTTATTCACGTTTTAACTGCATCTGCATCATCAAATTATCCATATGAACCAATTTTGGCTCGCTCGTTTTAATTAGTTTAATGTTTAAGGGGGGAGGTAACTGCAGAGAGACTGAGAGACTTCAGTTTCCTCATGGGTTCCCCACATACAGCTGTCCATACAGTCAATGCAGTTGTCTTTGAACTGTACACGGCCTTGGATTGGACAATAAAACCTTGGTGATGGTGGAAAGTAAACACTGTTAATGGTTATCATTATTAGCCCTACAGGGCTCCAACTGCTGCCAACAACTTTAGGTGATAATTGCCCCATAAAGACAAATACTTTCCTCAACAATCACTGAAGCAAATTCACCAAGAAATTCTTCTGGGGTTCCCTCTGTGAGTTCAGAGTGATCAATCTCAGCTTTTTATAGGCGTTGCTATCGTAAAATCTGCTTCGGGGAAATTTGTTTTTATGTTAGAAATACATGTGCAATAATTAGCATGATGCAATGCCATGTGTGTGATACAAGGCAGAGCCATGGTGATTTTTTTATTTTGGTTTCCAGGGTGATCTGGTTAAGGTTGACACTGTGTGGATTCATATATTTGACACCTGGCTGCTTCTCACACACACACTAGGTTATAAACACACGGTCCTTTAAGGGAAGTGACCTTTTCTGTTTCACTGTAAGCTTGAATGCTATTTATCTAAATTAGCCTTCTCCAAAATGTATTTATTTTTTGTTCCATTAGTAACGCAACTAAAGGCAAGTCACCCGGTTTTGAACCCCTCGTCAAACGCTTTTTATGCATTTAAGGTGACATAATAGTTGGATGGTTTTACACCCTTTAAAAACCTGCTACAATGTTAATATCCATCGTTCATGAGGCTTATGAAAGAACTGGCAGTGAAAACTTTGACCAGTGCCATTCCTCTTAAGACAAGAAAATGTCAAATATAAACAAAAATTCACACATAAACATGTTTGTTAAAAAAATATTGTAAATCCAGAAAATAAACGTTAATATAGAATAGCAAACAAATATATATATATATATTTATATATATATATATAGTAATATATATTTGTTAATGTTGCCAAAGTGGATACATTGCCTTAAAATGTTTTTTTCCCCCTGTATTTTTAATGAGCGACATCAGTATGATTTGTGGTCCTTTACCCATTTTGTGGTTTTCTTCACTTTGGTCCTTATTTTTGGAATAACCCTCAAATTTTCCTCCGACTTGTTTTACCGTGACTAAGCGACAGGAAGTCACATCCATCCTGTCTTCGAAATCAAAGTCTAATTTTGTTTTTTATCAGTATCCTGTTTAGTTGTGGCTGATTCATACAGTGCATTGTTCCCTGAATACAGTCTATAAAGTGCATTAGGTGTTTATGTCGTGAGCCCAAAGAACAGGAACTCATTAAAGCTGGATGTTCTCCATCACACCCTGTGTTCTCTGAAGCTGTTACAAACTGAAGGGAGGCTGCATCGGTGAAATCAGTTATGAAGAAAACACCGCGTCCTGAGTTTATTTCAGCTGACTTCAATACGTAAACAATTTAAGTATTTTAATTAAAAACTTGTCAGTTTTTCTGCCCTGGCTGTTCCATGTATAAACAGGAACCAATGTACGGCACTTGTTTTTCTTAAGTACATTTAAACAAGAAAATAAACTCAACATTTGGCCTGGGATCATGTGCCGTGAAGAGAAAAAGCTCCTTACATATTTCAGAACCAAGTAGCCAAGTTGTTGTGTGAGTGTATTAGAATGAACCATTAAAAAAAAAAAAACTTAGTTTTTGGACCCACTGCTCCTCAGTTTGTCGTTTTTGTCAGATCTGAATTTAAGGTATTGTAAAAAATTTTAAAATAGACTTTATGTGTTTTGCTCAACTCTAATATTTTTTTAAATGTGGCTTTTTTTTGGCTATATTCTATTTATTTTTGGTCTAACGCTAATTTAACTTGTTTTTGCACTGTTTTCATCTTAACCCAATTTTGCCAAAGTTTTGTAAATCCAAAACCTAATTTAACCAAGTGCTGCAACTTTTGCTATATTTCTGGCAAACATTTGATTATTTTGTTATCAATCATTTGCATTTTCTACTTGAATTTAACCTTAGTCGGGGTCTGTGACTGAACACACACACACACACACACACATCCCTAAACAGCTCTTGTTGTGTGGAGGGAAATGTTGGACCCAATCCCAGCTAGTGTTGATTATTGCTGGTGACCACACACGTATAGCCGCACACATGTAGGCTATAAAATATTTAACTCTCGACTTACATCCTCTATTTCTCTCTCTTGTTTGTTCCCAACATGGAATCAATTTTGCGAGGAACAGGATCCATGTTTGTAAGTTGACTAAAAACATCACTAGAGGCTTTTTTTCTCTCTTCTTTCTTAAGGTCTTTTCATTTGTCGTACACAGATGGGATTTTACAGCTGGGGTTTTCTGCCACTGACATTAATAACTATGTAAATTATAGTGGAATCACAGGCCTTTTGTCTGTGTAGGACGGAAATATTTTGCGCAACTTATTTTCTCACGGACCTATCACCTGGGTGTGGTTAGAAAAAAAAACGCACCAAAAAGAAATCGTACCAAACCAATAAATGGGGACAAACCTGTACTTTAACATGGACTGTAAAAACTTTCTTTTGTTTGAGAAGAGTCATTTCCTTTTCAGTGTACCTTTAGGTCATTAATCTTTTTTAAAGAATCTTTTTAAAAGACTTTTATTCTGACATTCTTCTTGGCATGGAGCAAAAGCTGTTTGTGATTGAGAGAGAATCTTTTTTGTTAAAAAAACAAACAAACACATTTGACACTGATATTAAATGAAAAATAAATAATATGTTGTTTATTTTTCTCTGTCACTGGATCCCAATGAACCACAACAGCAGTACCAGTCTAGAACCCGGTGGTTCTGGACCTGTGGTGTATATAACTGCATCCAGTTTAGGAATCCACAAACTCTGTATCAATTTGTGCTCATGTCATGTGTTGTTTCCGATAAGAACTAAAGATACTTCAAAGTCTGTTGAAGGGGGAAAAAAACGTGTTTGTGATTTCATTGCATCTCCTCCTCACTGTGTAATCAAATCCATTTGCAGCTTTGTTTTGTTTTGTTTCTGGTTTTTTAAGCATTGTTTCATGTGGATTTTCCCAATGGTCTATTTTGATACGCCATTTTCTTGACATCTTAGGTGATTTGTAAATATGCAGCGTATGACTTTACTAAACACCAGACTTCACACCAAACAAGAGTTTCATGTTTTGATGGAAACGTCTGTTTATTTACTGAATTTTTATCTGAGGGAAGAGGATTTTAAGCAGACATAAAATCTCCATTTTGTTTATCCAGAGCTGGAACTTTACCATCTGTGAACCCCAGGGGATGTGGTCTCAATTACAGCAGGGTCTGTCCTGTAGTGGACCAATGATCTTGAGCGTAACAGTACACTAAACATAAGAAATGCAGAGGTAAACAGTGAAGTATATATTAATACAGTACATCCACTGGTTTCTAAAACTTATATTGTGGGAGCCTTAGGAGAAATTTGCTAATGTCTTTTTACTATGTCCAGTAAAGCACAGGGGAGGCTCTGTAAAGGTTTAGGGCTGTATTTTGAAGTCATGGAATTGTGAAAGTTGGTGCTTGGCCTCCACAAAACTCAGACCTGGATATATTTACATTCCTCTGTGAGTTTGCCTAAACCTTTCCTAAAACAAACCCTAGACGTTTTGTTTAATTTCTCAGTTAAAAACTAGATGATTTATGGATGGCATCAAACTCTATTAACATGGAGTTCTTCACCAAAATGTACAAGAGTCATAGCAGATTAAACTTACTTATCTTATCTTTTATTTTAATGAACTATCTAAACCTGGGAGACTTGAATCTGTTGGTGGCCTTGTTTGCCTGAGCTGAGAAGACCCAGAGCTGGAAGAGGAGAAGATGAAGTCATGGTTCTGGATTGGGGGGTGTACCACCAAAGAGAGAAAGAAATAAATTCGAGGAGGGGATTCGGTTGTAGTGTTGAAGCCGCCACACTTCTTTATGAGGGCTGTAATTAAGCATTGGCTTGCGGCGGTGTGGTTCTGCTGCGACAGAACGCCTCATGTATCTGACAGACACACAGTTTAATGTCACAGAGCCTGGGAATCAAGTTGTGCTGTTTATCAGTGAGCAGTTGCTTCACTTGTGGAAAGTCTCCTCAGGCCAGTGTGAGTCATAACACGAAGGCCCTGCTGTGTCCCAGGTCTGTCTTTAAATGATGTTGGAAGACGGCGTTGTATGTATATTACTGATCCCTTACAGCCTTACTCCGTGTCAGCACTTTGTCAAGTCAGCTCTGTCTCTCATTAAGGGCTCGGTGCATCCAGTGATGTAAGTCATGGCGTCAGAATAGTTGTAACTTATCTACAGTGTAAGCCAAACGGACAGAGGGTGGAGTTTTATTTGACACATTTCTTATTTTGGACAGAGGGTGGAGATTTATCTGACAGGTTTTATACCTGTGTCTGCAGATCATGGTCTCTTGGTCGGTTCTTCCCAACCAGGATATAATTTAAAGAGAATTAACTGATCTGCTTTTACAGGACTTGGAACACAGTGTTTTCCAAAGTCTGTCCAATCAGTCCACTCTTATAGTTCTGGCTAACCTTTAGCTATTTCTAGATAAATGCCACTATTTATGATTGCATTTATATTTTTTTTTTTTCTTCAAGCAGTTTTTAATTGCAGAATAGTTTTGACTTTTTTTAAAGTTTTGACCTTGGAGATGGGTTTTTTTTTTGTTTTTTCTTTTGTTCAACCCCTGGTTTTCCAGTTTGTACATAAATGGAATGGTTTTTGTGCATATACAATACATACTGTGTCCTGCAGTCCTGTGACTGAACTGGACTGAACTGTGCAGGATGTACCCCGCCCTCACCTTATGACTCCTGGAATTAGTTTTCACCATCCTTATTTTATGTTATAAAATATAAATTATAATATTAATAATAATAAATTAATAAAAAAAATGTTTTCTGCACTGTACTTTAGGCCAGCTTTTCATTCATTACTTCTCTTTGTAATATTAAAAAAAAGCCTAAATGTTTTTGTGCAATCTAAGCATTTATTCAAACATTTTCTGCTCACAATAATATTAAAACCCAAATTTGCATGAAATTATTAAAACCTAATGGATGGCCCTGGTCTACCAGGCTGCTTTTCAAATCATACACATGGTAGACGTGCTAGACAGATTTCATAGCCCAACAGACCAATGGCGACTATGACAGTGAGCAAATCTGCCACTTTAGCGATTTTATTTTATAAGCTTTGGAACACAATCTTCATTTTTATAGTTTTATTTTATAAGATACCAGTATTGTGTGCAGTTACAACAGTATGAAGCCATCAATAAGACTAAGGGTCTGTTGGCGCTCACTGCTGCAGGATTAGCTGCCGACAGGCTCCGTGCCAACATACTGGTGCACATACAACTGAAAGTTATATTAAAAATTCCTGAACCACCACTGAAAGTCTTCTGTCCATCATCCCCCAAACAGAGTGCGCTGCAAGCTTTCAACTGCACTTGTTGTGGTTTCTTCTGTTTTTCTAAAACCCATAAAATAATAATTGCTCCCTCTCCCAGTAGATATGGTTAAAATATTTCCAGCAAAAGCTGAAAATTGTATTAGGAGTTAATCAAAGGGTCTCTCCTCTAATGTGACTTTGTCTCTTTCCTCTGTTCAGCGTCAGGCAGTCTGGGAGGCTGATCTGAAGGCTGTGAGAGGTGGGACCTCCATTGGGCACACAGGACTACCGCTGGGCGACTCCCTCTTTTCCAAGGAGTTGGAGAGCATGGGCAAACAGCTCGCTGGTAAGCAACTCTATGTGTGTGGACGAGGGTCTGGTCATTCTTGTACCTGTTTAACATTAAAAATAAACTTTGAACCTTTGGTTTTTCTCAACCAGGCAGATCTTGCTAAAAAAAGAGTCTTGTTTCTATGGGGTTTTTTTTTTTCATTTTTCTTATTCTAACAAAATTGACATTTTGAGTTGTAGTAGGAAGAAAAGACATAAACACATGTCAATATTATGATGGATGCAGTTTGCATCTGTAACTTCTTCCTTTCTTTTGAAATCAACAGCATTTTTCTTGTTTTGAAGCTATGATATGGAATAAGTCGTCCTGTCAAACAAAAAAAAAAAAGCTTTTGGTCGGATGCTTTTCGTGGTTAATTAAAATGTTATTTTCCTGTTAAATGTGTCAAGATTACATAGTCAAAGTAATTAAAGCAACTCATTTTCACATACCAGGAATCCATCCTGGCTGCAGCTCTGACAGCCTTAGCGGAGCTCTGCTGAGTCATTTGGAAGTGATTCGTAGTTGGAGACTGGCTGCCTCTGACACAATGGAATTTGCGTAGCATTTTGGGAATCATTACCACTCATCTTTGATATGAGTGACGTCTGGCTGACTCACAGACTGCGTTTGTTGTCATGATGATCAAGCATGTGTTTGCTTATGAATCAGATGAAAGCCTGGAGTTGGAGGCCAGAGGGAACGTCGCCATTTACCATCATATGTCACCCACTTGTTTGTTAATACATGTCCTCCCACTAGGCTTGACAGTCACATGGGGATTTTATGACCTTGTCTGTGCACTGGCATTATGAGCTTATGTAAACCTTATTTTATCCCACTTTAATAATACTGTAACCAGCAGGGGTCCCATCTGCTTTTTTTTTCTCTTGACCATCAGTAGATTTACCACAAGTACTTGCTGATTTTTTTTTCCATGTCGTGTGATTTAGCGGGAGTAGATCAAATGGATGACTAAAACACATCTAAATGTTTAGGTGGAACCAACGTAGAAGTAAACAATGTAGGACTAAGACACATGTAAATAATACAGTTGAGCGTAAAACTACTCCTTCACATATGTCTAACTGGACTGTTTGTGAAAAATAGAAAGGTCAAAGGTCATACATTTAGCATGGGAAACTTTGTCCCAGGAGTAGCAGTCAGAAAGGAATAGATAATAATTTGGTCAAAACTGTTTCAAAGCTGTAATTTTCTATTTCTATATGTTTACATTCAAGTTTGGTTACAGTTTATCAAGGGTATCAAACTCCATCACTCAAGAGTCAGAAATTTAAAACACAGTCAAGCTGCATGCCAAGCAGGATTTTTTTTTATTAGCAAAAACATCCAGCACGAGCTACAGTACATGTTGACTGAGTAACAGCACATGCTAATCGGCTAAAAAAAAATGGTATACTGGCTAAATTCTTGACCTAATTTGCTAAACATAAACTGAGAGCATGTCAAAACTTGCGAATAAATAAATAAATAAAACATATATATAGTGAGAAAGTTACAGCACAAAGGCCTAGTGAGCTTAACTGAACTGGCAAAGCTAGCATGTTAGCTTAGTATACCTGTTATGTTAGTATTTATACTAGACTGAAAGAAAGCACATCACCGTAAAACCTCTCTGGATTTGGATGTGTAAGTAATCAGTTCTAGTGCTTGTAAACAGAGACAGCAGTCCAATTAAACAGCCCAGTCAAGCAGTAGCCGTAGCTTCACTTAACTACGCCTGTTTATGTACTGACTTGATTATGGAGTCTCTCACACAAAACCATTTTCTTTAATAACAAAGTAACTTTCACCCCCAGTGCTCCTTAAACGGCACGGAGTGTTTCACACTGAGTTAGTTGATATTCGGTCCGACTGCTCCCACCAGGCGTCTCACTAAAGCTGTTTAACAAGCTAATGCAGCTCTTTCAAACCTTTATTAGCCGCTCATTCCTTCAGTGTTTGAAGCCAGAGCCTTTACTTCTCACTCTACATCATTAAGTCGATTTTGCCCCTCGTCTCACTTTTGTGACACAATGGATTTAATTATCCTGCATTTAAAATATGCCTAGGGTAAATGTTTGAAAGGTGGCTTTTATGAAATATGTGCATATTAGTACTTTTAAAGTGCCAATACTAAATCAAGTGTAGCTTAACATGGCTAAGTGATCAAAGTCTTTAATATATATTTTAGAGCTTTATATTAGCGTTATTGTTTTTATTAGGCCAAATCAAATCTGGATGATGAAATGAAGACACAAGATTTGGCACAAGTTTGTTTATTTAAAGAGGAAAGGAAGCGGTAAAGTTACTGTTAGGAACGGTTGTGTAGCGTGCAACGTCCTTGTATGTCGTCTCTTACCATATGCAACTGCTGCTTGATCAAAGACTTTAATAGATTAGATCTGTTTCCATTTCTCCTTGTCTCTCTTTCTCGGTCACATTTTCTTCCTTTTTTTCTCCTGTTCTTTCCCTGTTCTTGTTTCTCAAAGACTAAATCAAGACTTGTGAGAGCATTCTACCATATGGTTTGTCAGTGTACCTTATTGGATGTATGTTTGTGAGAGTATTTATGAAGTTTCTGAGAATTTTAAAATGAAGCTTTTTGCCAGCGACCAATTATTTAATGCCAGGAAGTGAAGGAAAGTGACCAGATTACAATAAAATCACAAGAGGAGTCGTAGTTTATGTTGGTGTTAAATGGTTTTTACAACACAAACAAGTAAAGTTTATACTCTGCTGGTAAATAAGCTAAATTTAAAACTTCTTCATGGGAAGAGCTTACTAATGATCATGTCCTGTTTATAGTGTAATAATAACACCGGTGGTGGCGGATAGAATGTGTGTGTGTGTGTTTGTGTAGTTAAGGATTTAAACTTGGAAAAGCACTGAAGGACTTGCTCCTTCAGCAGGTCTTACACTTATGATCGTTTCTACAGAGTATCAATGTGAAAAGAGCCTCTGTAGTAGCTTATTGCCATCTGTCAAAGTGGTACAAACTGCAGTCCTGCCATTTCCAGCAGCTGATGTAATGATTTGCCTTGTTCACCATAGAGAGTTCATTTGCTACCAGACTTACAGTCAGACCACATTAGGCCAAGGCATGACCTCTACCTTCAGTTTCCCTCTGCAATGATTTGGAGGAGTAGCATGTGTAGAGTACACATGGGTTAAAGCAACGCAGAGACAGTACAAAGCAGAACACATGCAGTTTTTCGTTGAACACATGGGCCGGTCAGTACGTACGCAGATGGTGCTCTGCGATGCATCTCCCTGTAAAGGTCACCCTAATTATAGTGAAGGCTGATGAAGACAAGAAACAGCAACCAACTTATCCCAGAAAGTGAAATGTGTAGGATCGCTGATGAGTTGATGATCGAAACAGGTTCAGATTTCAACCCACTATCACCACAGGCTGCCTTATTTTAAGAGCTCTGTTAGTTTGTCCAGCAGGTAATTACCAGCTGCTCAGAAACAGCCCAGCTTTGTCATGTATCCTTTCTGTTGTTTATTTACCATCACACGTATAAAGGTCTTTCACAAGTGCAAGCTCCTAATGAGTCATAGCTTAAATCATCCCACTGGAAGGATAATTCCCAGAACGGTGTGTTGAACTGTGATTGCCAAGACCTGCAACAAATGCAGAACATGGAAAGAATGACCAAGATGTTGATCACAGAAGTTGGCAGCTTGGTTTCTTTCACAAACAGAAATGTTTTTGAGACTACCAGTGAGGCAAACAAATGTGTTTTTGTCAGGAACAGGGAACAAAAATATTACCAGGCAGCGTTCACTGTATACCAACTTGGAACGTTTTCTCTCAGAGGAAGTTGCATTTACCACAATTTACAGGGTCTATAAATATTTTCATCATTGCCCAGAAGAAAGATTAAACCAAGCAGTCTCGCCCACTTTAATGCTCAGTAATGTTTGTGACTCATCAGTCTTTGAGGACACACACTAACCTCCACTGCTTCTGAATATCTAACAAAAATAAGCCTGACTTATGTCATGGAACATCTTAGTTCATTTGCCAGAGTGATCTGGGAAATATTACACTGCATGCTTTATGTCAGAAGTTGCTTCAAACATTTATAAACAGGATTTAAGATAGAAAACAACACCATGTCACACAATCAGACACTGTCCTGTCTATGTCCCTAATAAAGGGCCAAAGTTACAGACAGTTGTATTCTATAATTTTTTTCTGCAAGAATAGAAACTGATTCTATATGTATATAACTAGCTCAAGCAGTCATTTGAAAACATTTTAAGGACATAAGTTATTTTCCACCGGGGTCACATCTGACTGCTTACGTTCTATTTTCTTACAGAGGTAGAGAAAGACCTGGCCAAGCTAGCAGAAGTAGGAAAGATGACCAAGTGGAGCTCAAACAACCTGCACAGTACTCTCCTTCACACCCCTCAGCGCCACAAAACACTGCCCGACAACCTTCCTCTGCCCAGCCTGGTGTCCAGGCCCCAGTCTCCAGCTGCCAGCCTCTCAGGCAAGCCCTGTGGAGTGGGCCTCCCACTGCTCAGCCAAAAGCCCACTTCCTTGGTCATGGGACGGACTCAGTCTCCCAGCAACCCTGGGAGCAGGACTCAAACCCCCCGAACACCCAGCAGGCCCATGACCCCGAATAGTTTACTGACACGCTCCACCTTTAACACTGGATCTCACAAAGAGGTGACCTTCAGGAGGTCACGAAGCCGCCCTGTGACGCCCACATGTCAACCCACACTTCCCCGGCCGCTGCTCACCCCTCCAGGTCTAAGCACTACCGACAGCCTTGGTGCCAGCCTTCGGGCCTATCTGTCTGAGGTAAGACCCCGCTACTGTCAAATATTCTCATTTGTACTCAGTACAGTTGTTGTTTAAGACTTGTCGGCAAGTTTTTGTAAACAAAGTGCATCCCCTATAGTGAGTACAGTGTAGGGCTGTGAATCAAGGTTGAATGTGCTAATGCTAATGCTTTTTGTTGTTGTTTAATAAGAAATGTAATACATTGAACATTTTAGAATATAAATTGCCCTCAACATGAAAAAAAATCATTGAAGCACTTAGCTTTTGTCCAAACTGTAAATTTCCTGTTCTTTTAAAACAGAAAATGAAAATGCAGGTGGAGGGCAGCATTGCTACAGTGACCCCATACCCATAACTAAATGGATTATTTTATATAATTCTGATCACATTTTTTTTCCACTCTTTACATTTTAGTTGATGTAATGACGTTACTTCGACTTGTGTTTACTTTTGGCCTGAAAATGTAAAGTTCTCTCGCCATGCTTTCCAATTTTATTTCCCTTCTGGCTCTGATCTCACATTGAAGAGGATGACATAAGTGGTATGGATTCCACATAACTGTTAGCAAGAGATCAAACCAGTTCATTTCCACAATCAAATTGACAAGGTATTCTCCACAAGCCATGGTCTGACATAAAATTCTACATATAACATTGAGAGTATTTTGTAGCTTCTAAGATTTATCTCGGAATAAAACCTGTCAAGTTCAACCACAGCCTGTAAATCAAATGTAAGACTGCCACAAACTGAGTCATGTGACTTGAAAAACACTCTAAAGGTTTTGAGAGAACTGCTTTGCTAAATATTGAACAGGCTTCATGCCCAAGTAAAAGTGGCTTTTTTTTAAAGTGGGAAAGTGAACACCAGCACACACATGATTCTGCACACGTGCAAACCCTGGCCAGTCTTAGTGTGGGGTTTGGTGCAGAGTCGTGGAGGTCTCTACAGTAGGATGTCGTTTCATTATGGAAAAATGAGTCTGGCATCAAACAGGGGACTTTCAATGGGATTTCTTTTCCTTTCATGATCTACTTAGCAGTAGCGCTTTTTTAAATTCGAAGGCCCTCTGTGCCCTCACACTGGTGATTTTTGACACTGAAAGCACTGAGGACTGAGGCCACCCGTACTCAACTATAGTATGATTACAGCTTTGGTCACCAACTGAAATAACTGTACATTGGTGGCATATAAAGTGCAGATTAAAAAAGAATGCAAAAATAGATCTTTTTTTCTTTTTCATCTTTTGTTTAACCACTTCACACTGCAATTGTTTCAGCGCCCAAAATGGGAAGACATAAAGTTGTTTTCGTAGGGACATCTGGGCAGTTTAAACTTTGAAGTTAATCATTCCCTTTCTCGTATAAAAAAGATGATATAATTGAAAAAACGAGTGCGTACACAAACTAGACAAACTGAACAAGATGTATTTTTGTAGCGTTACTTTTCTTTGTTTTCTTCAGACCATTAAGCAATTACACGGGGTAATCTTTTTTTTTCTTTTTTATTTGTCAGGATGAGTTTTACCAGCAGTTGCAGGCCGTCCGACAGCCCTGGCACATTCCCAGTGACACAGACAGCGACATCATGGAGCCGGAACAGGATAAAAGTGAGTGACCAACCTGCAGCAGAACTTTCTTCCTTCTTTCCACATTAACCGTTCAAAACATGACATTCATTGTTTATCCTTTACTTATTGGCTCTTACTAATTCCAATGAAATAAAGGTCATATTTTTGTACTTTAACTACCTGATTTTCTTTTCTCCATAAGTTGTGATTCACATCCCATAAGTCTAATGTCATTTAGTCACAGTGGATATTAAAGCGCTACAGAGCCAACACATCTATTAAAAAGGGAGGATTCGTGTGCAAGTATCCCTTGTAAAATGCTGTGATGGAGCTCATGGACTGACACATAAAAAGCAGATACAGTTGGGTGAAATCCTCAGGGGTATCGTTGGAATGAAAAGTAGTCATGTAAGGCTTCCCTTCCTGGCACCACACAAGAGATACGCTGTATATCTATCAAGATCCAGTCAATAGACATGAACGGTCCCTGCTCGAAAGTCATAAATCCAGTCATGGCCGCGGTCTGGCTTGAATGCAGGGCTGCAAAATACGCCAGCTTTGAAAGTGACAGAATAAGATCAGACCTCCTTGAATGTTCTGCTGCATAAATCAAATGAACATATATGGAAGTATGGTCTGATAGTCAGAAGCCTTGCCAGAAAGAAACTCTGAAGTACTTCTCAAGTCACTGACGTCCACCAGTTAACCTTTAAATGCATGTCCCATAAACACTGTTAACATATGGCTCATCGACATTGACGGAGACATTTGTGAACATTTAATCTATGGCTGCGTTAAATAAAACTAACTTGTGAAAATAAGACATTTATTTCCTGAACAGAATCAAATAAGGATGGTGAGAATTCTCCTATTCTGGATGATTTAAGGGGTTATTTCTAATATTTAAAGAAGTGGTCATGGGACAAGCTTGGTTGCCTTCAACACATAGCACTCTCAATTAAAGTGTCTAGATATTGTTACCATATTTGGACCAGCATGACATGAAGTTTTTGAATCCTTTGGATTGCATTGTATTTTATTTGTTTTGGAAATTTGGAAAATATTGTTCCAATGTTGGTCAGGCTGGATTAAAAATCTTAACAGGTTGTATTGAGAGAACTGGATGATTTGATTAAAATATAAAAGAAAATATAAAAGGAAATCTTTTCCCATAACTATGGGTTCAAAGCTGCCACATTAGTGTCCCGGAAACTCCTGTGATGTTGCCAACTCTGGTGTTTGTTTAGTAATCCCTACTCCAGTATTTATTTACTTGATGAATTCCGGAAAGTTCCGTAATTAGCTAAGCCCTGTTTTCTTAGTAAGCAAGCGATCATCGTCATCATCCGCGCTTCATATGTTTGGAATCCAAAAGACTGATGTTGGGAAAGGAGAATTCCAGTCAAGCAAAGATAAAGCATGCAAATGGCGGTCACATGGAAAAACATCACCGGCCTCCCTCATTGTTTTTCCAAAAGTGTATTGTGTTTAATAAATGGATAAAAATGTCCTAATAGGTGCCTCAGATGCAGGCAGTTAGAGAGAGACTGACAGAGAAAGAGTTCCAACAGCCACACAACGTGACAAAGTGTGCTCTGGCATTAGACAGGGCCCTCAGGACTGTTTGCTGAAATATGCTTTGTACGTATTTGTGTGTGTGTGTGTGTGTGCAATTTTAAAAAGTGTGTTTAACATGTGGGTGATTGTAATAACATCTTTAAGACATTAAAATTGTTTTTAGGCCATTTTCTTTGCCCCTTAATCCATTAGTTCTGTGAGGGGTAACTCTTTGACTTGTGAATTAGAGGTTGAATTGCACATTGGCAACTGAACATTCAATTTGTACCAATGAGATTATAAAAAGTACATCTGTAGGAATGGGGCAACAAACAAAGTTCCCATTGCTTTATCTCATGCCTTTGAATTTTGTGTATATTTCCATGCACATGGACTGACTTCATTAGTGCAGTGACACCTTCCTCCCACTATCTCAGCAGATGTGTCTAAGCCTCAGCCAAATGTGGTGGAAGCTAAATAATGGGGGAGAAAATCCATAGGTATTTCCTGTTATTCTATAAACTTCCACAAAGGGACAACCACACATACCACAGTGGAGATGAAAGGAGTCTGCGAGGTTTTTGTAACTTTTCAATTTCTGTCCTTCATGGCTGGAGCTACACCACTTTAGAATTAAAGTGTTTAACTATATGTTTAAACATTAAAGAACGCCATGACTTCAGCTCAGTAATCAGACAACCTGGGGTGTCTTTTCCTCATACAGTACTACTTCCTGTGAGTGAGGAATAACACTGGAATGTGAAAAAGAAAACACAACTTCATCTCCTGTGCTTTTTTCCTAGGAACTGGAGGATTATAGTAACTCTAGGCTGTGATGTGACAGCTTCCTTATTTTGTGACAAAAAACCCATCAACGTTAGGACAAAATAATTAAAAAAAACAAGTGTTTCTGGTGCTCCTAAACTATTCTTATTACAGCCCTTGTATCCAGTTGTCAGTAACTCCAGTGCCTTATTACACCAATGTCAACACTCTCTGTGTCACAAACTTTTCTTGTCTTTACAGGTGGGTCACGGGATGCCAGTAAAAGATCTGTGTTTTCAGGTAAGAATGCGACCATTCCCATGCATCTTAGTCATAAATCCAAACCAATTCACTTTATAATTTACTGTCTAACTTGAGCATGGGCCATTTGCTTTGTTTTGACCGCAGATGAAAAAGTGATGGTTTCAAAACCACTCAAATTTTCCATTATACTATTCCTGCGGTTTTAGCTCTTGTGTATGTCTTGCCAAACATAGAAAGTGCAGAAATCCTTTCAGTTTGTGTGCAGCTCAGAGTAACACAACCTCTACATCCGGTTGGTGCATGCTGTCAGTCACTGAGCATGGAAAATTGGCTCTTACCTTCGCCCAATAAGACAAAGTCAGCTTTTTTTAGGAATTTTGGAGAGCTAAAGAACGCAGATGGATACGGCTGGAGACGATGGAGATGAGAGTTCAGGAGAAATGTTTGTAAAGAGGGACTGAGATGTGAGGCAACACAGAATGTTGAGCTCCAGTGTTGTGCTGACTGAAGAAAGAGAGCATGTTTTTTTTTTCAGCAATGATTCAAAAGCAATAAATAAAATTCACACTTCTTATTTTTTACGATCTCGCCCCCAGGAAGCTAAGCCTTTAGGCATGTCTATCTGGTGTTCCACCTGGCAGCGTATTTCCTCTCCTCTTGTTTTTATATCATACCATTTATGTGCCCTACCATATACATTTACTAATATTCACAAGGACCAACAAAGTCAAGTGTAAAATATGGGGTAGATTGTTTGTTTTTAAACATTTTAGAGCTTGTCAGTTCTGTAGTATTTTTAAGGATTTTTGTGAGAATAAACCATGGAAACCTTCAAACAGTACTACTAATATGTCTTAGTAGTTTGAGTGGGCCACAACTCAGTGCTAATGTAGTAAGACAGGGGCTGCATCATTTGCATCTACTCCCCCAAATCTCCTTGTCCAATGCTGGGTAACCCATGCCTTCATTAACTAAGTGTATTTCCTTGGTCTTTTTAAAACAATGTGCATATTCCATATTTAGCACCCCCTCCACAAATGAGAGAATGATTTATATGTATTGTATTGTACAAACCAAAATTCTCCACTACTATACCTTTAAGGTTACCATGGCATCAGCAGCACTGGTACGTCCCAAAAGTGTTTTGGTTTTTATAGGCTACTGCCTAATTCTGGTTGAGCCACGGTGTCTGTCAGTGACCTGATTTTTGGAGCCACAAACACTTAACCTCAATAACAACCCATTGGTGACTTACCGTGAAAGCCTCCACCTTCATTTATGGTCCATTCAATTAACGTCACAGGCTAAATGGAGGGCACAGTGGTTCTGATGTGTGATTGGTGGAGGCTGCCCATGTGTGGAGACATCAACGCTGCTTGCCCAGTTCCATTTAGTCACTCGGGCCCTGAGTTTACACGCAGCAGACAGCGTCAAATCTCAGCGTCAACATTTGGGAGAAGGAGAAAGTCTGTCTGGTTTGAGGTTGTCTGCGGTTCTCCTTCTTGTGGCTCCGGAGGTGCCCACAGCTTCTAGTGTCGCTGTGCCAGTCTGGAGACAGATCTGAGAGCAGAGCTGCTGCTGCTGCTGCTGCTGCTGCTGCTGCTGCTGCTGCTGCTGCTGCTGCTGCTGCTGCTGCTGCTGCTGCTGCTGCTGCTGCTGCTGCTGCTGCTGCTGCCTGGCTATCAGAGAGAGAGCTCAGACTCCCAGCTCTGAGCCAATCACAGCTCTCACAGAACTTATTATGAAATATGGCCATTGGAGGCTCCAATGGGCAGCACCAGGCCTCTTTTTCCACCTCATGTTTGACTATGACATGTTCAAATATTAAATGGCTGTTTCTTAGCAATTGCCTCAGTTATTATTCTTATTTGTGGTCGAATATGTCTCATTTTCGTTTCTAGGAGACTGATGTTTTGTCTTTCTCCCTTCACAGGCCTATAGTGACGGAGACGAAGACCAGGGACACTGATTGAAACAAAAAATATGCAAACCACTGGACATTTTGAATATGTGTTTCCAAACAATTATTTTTCTACTGCACAGGAATGAAAAACAAAACAAAAAAACAAACAAACAAACAAACAAAAAGAGATTGTATACTTTTTTTCACAGATATTTCATAGTTGTTTTACTTTGATTGAATGGTAGAATGTGAAAATATTAATTTTTGAGAATGAAATGCAACAGTTATTTTTGTTTGCTCTATGGCATGCAGAGGAACTTTGATGTGAGGTCTAGAAAAAAATCTTTCTCAAGAGCATATTCACAACGTGAAAACAGCACACTCCCGCTGGGAATACTTGTGCCGATATGCACTGTTAAAGACATGTAACGTTTTCCAAGTTATTTCCAAGACATGAAAGGTATACAAGGAATGCTGTTAACTTAATAAAAATGGTTCGATGCACACGACCCCAATTTGCTTCTGTTCTGTTCATAACAACACGTGTCAGTAAAGAGGAGGTATTTGACTGAGTAATGATACTGTAAATTATACTCATGTGACAAATATATAATAATGAAACAAAAAAAATCAACATTTCATTGGTTGTACTGTAATAACCAGCTTTAATATTGTTTTCTGTTGTTTCCTTTCTTTTATCCTAATTGTACTAATATTCCCTATTTTTTCCCATTTTCAAGCTAGCACCCAGTTACCTCAGGTACAGTCAGGTAAGTCATGTCGACCATTAACTTTTACTGTACAGTGAAGGAGTCAAACTGGGGCAGTATCAGAGACGAAGAGGTCTGTGCTCACCCTGACTGCACTGCTCCTGTGTGTTTGCCCGGGCATGTTCTGGTCAAACTGTGGTTGTCTAAGTGTTACGTGTGCAACGTCAGCACCATAGACACACGCCATGCACACACTCTCCACCCTGAAACAGGCTGATCCCTCTATCCCAGCTGTACTGTGTTTTGTGGTGCGGTACATGCAGCCATGCCAACTCCAGAGTCTGTCTCTTGGGATGTGGTCACCGAAACGACTCGAATCTCAAGTCTTTGAGGGAGATTCCTGTAAAGAGGATGTGTGAGACGACTAATCACCCCACCCTGTGTAAAACATGGCATTTGAATTAATGCCCTTGTATTTCAGCACATTTATGGCACGATGGAAAGGGATGTGGTTTCCAGAGATCTCTGGAAAAATTTAAGGGCATGGCGTAATCCAATCACATTGATGCCTTGATATACTCTTCATATCACTGTATAAACAGTATTTTTCCTGTCATTTCTTATTTTCCTCAGTTACTTTGTTAAAGGGGAGCTGAGGTTATGGTTCCCATCTGTACACGTCCTGCAAATCAGCAGCAGCATGCTAACTGGGTTTATACTATCAATATTTGTCTTTGAGTTCACATGTCTGCTCCAGTTCTCCCCATGTTGTGTCAGCATAATCTCAAGACAGGAGGAGTTCCGAAGTCAGGCGAAGCAGTTTGTCATATGACGTCTTCAGTTACAGCTGCAGATGTGACACAAAGACAGCACCCTGATGCTCTTTCCTCACTTGCTTTTTGGAAGTCTCTCAGCATATCACAAGAGTGGAAATAAAATGTTGGCAACAAAACAAATGAACTGTCATGTTGAAGATGATTTGATAGAATTGAACTACATGTTAAATAATTTAACAAATGCTTTTGTGAAATTGGTTGTGGCCCTGAATTCAAGATATCCAGTTTGGGGCAATACGTTGAATCTTTCCTCATGAAGTATATTTAAAGTCAGATCATGCTAGTGGAATCCTAGGAATCCCAAAGTTTTATGGTCAAAGAATTAGTAATATGGTTGTTGTTAGCTAAATAATAGCCAGAAATTAAATTTTAAAAAGTAGAAATGTGGGGGGAAAGTATGACTAAAAAGTACCTCAGTGAAATACACTGTATATCTAAGCTTAGCAGGATTAGGCATAGACAAAATACTTTATAAACCTTATAACATACTAAGAAGTCTCAGGCTGCACAAAGCTGTCAAAGTGCTGTGATTGGCAGCCTGGAACCAAAGCTAGTCATGTATTATTATTCTTTGATGACCACACTGTGTATATACAGTATATCATATGATTTAAACCACTATGTATCAGTCACACTTTCTTTGTTGTGAGTAACTGAAAGGCTTGTGTTTCATATCATTAATACTTCACGTCTCCCAAGTATGAAACCTCTACATCATTTCAAAGCATGCTTCTCTGTGCAGCCTTCATATACCAAGCCCATTCAAACGACTGTCCAGGCCACCCATGAACAGTGGCAGACATCTCTGTACTTACTGGGAGATCTGGACCACCATCGGTGGTCAGTAGACTGACCCGGGTCTTACTTTACAAGTGAACAGACTGGGATTCATACTGATGTACGGCACTCAAATAAATCTAAGCTGAAATGCAGGTATGCTTTGAAGGCCTATACAGTCAGTCAGTCAGTCAGTCAGTCAGTCAGTCACTATCAATCACTGCATGAACTGTTCGGTTGAGATAGTATAGAAAATAATACAGTTAAATCAAATGGTTTTGTGGACAAATGTTCTTTCTGAGAATCTGGTACATCAGAGTCAAATTTATGTTTTCATTTCTTTTAATTTTAATTTTAGACTAAGTCTTTATAAAGGTAAAGGAACTAAAATATAAAATTTGAATTTATTTCATTTTTCTTTTTCAAAAATTCCACCTTAAAGTCAATTGTGAGGTCATGAAGAACTTGACCTTTCTTAGTTTGCAAAAGGATTAGAAAAAAATAATTTATTAAATATTCCTCAAATTTACTTTTTTACTTGAAGACTTTATCTGAATAACACAATCTGCTGTCATGTTCAGACCATTGTAAGAGCCTTAAAGTATCCACTTCCTGAACGAGTCTTGTGTATAATTAAAAAGAAGCTCTTTATGTAAAGAATCCTCAGCCCCAGGAAGTTTGTGTGGCTCTTCTTCCTGAACAGTGTCTGTAATTTAAGGCATAACGAACAATCTGGATTTAGTTTTGCGTTTGTGTTCATTGAAGTGAAATTAACTGCTGTTCTCACAGAGCTAATGAAATCAGGCCCCACTGCTCTGTAACTGTTGACATCTTCACGGCTGTCATCAACATGAAAGTCCTACAGTTGCTGTGGGTTGTTGTTATTTGAAGGCTAAATATAGACGTTCTGCTCGCTCAAGTGCCGTCGATCACTTTGTTTGACAAAATATTAAAGTAATAAACGGCTGTAGAAAGTGTGTTGACAGCACAGATGTGTCCATGTTTGCAGCCAATAGTCAGTAGCTCTGTACAAGTAAAACATTAGGTGTAGCGTTACCAGAGTGTGTTGTGTACTGAGCTTATCTCATAATTTTATTGATCATTAACGTTTTTAGGTCCAACATAACAAGTTAATTAGCACTTGACTGGGATTTGATAGTTGTTAAAATCATGAACAGATTCATATAACCATGGTTTAGTTGTAAAATTGGCTTAAAAAATAAATTGTAATTAACAAAAATTTTCAGAACTGGTCTGCAGTACCCGCATAGTTTCAAGTCTGAATCCCTGAAAATTAGTTTGGGAAATAAATGTAAAAGTCCAGGAGCAAGCCACTGATGAAAAAAAGATAGGGAGTTGGGAGTTCCAAGGTTTTTTCCAAGGCATACTTTTTGTACATTTCCTGAAAAGAGAAAGTTCTGTAGTTCTGATATAGCTAAAAATAAAGCATCAAGCAAAGAGTCTAGCAGTCTAACAAAGCTTTAAAACTTTTGGTAAAGCAGATTGAACGATGCCCCAGAAAAAGAAGAAAAGCTGTCTTTCATGTCTCTATACTGTAGCATGGTTGTCTTTACAACATGTGTCCGAAGAATGTCACACATTATATCCGTGCGTCTTTGTCTCCATTCACCATAAAATGGAAAACAAACAGGGCTGTAAATATTTGTGTCTTTGTCTTCATGCAGCAGCATAATGAAAAACAATAAAGCTTCAAAAGTGCTGCAACTCTGATGTTGTGTTAAACACTAAGTGTATGCAGGCTGACTGATGTTTGTATTAGATTATATTTTCTGTTAAATTTTTTTTTTTTTACTTTTATTTGAGTTACTTCAAACTTTTTGATGACATTACATTTTAAATTGTTTAATTCATTTTCATGGGCTAACTTGGAGTTTAGCACTTTATTATATTTATTGGTTTATATACATTTTGTACTTTGCTAATCATCACTTGTGTAAGTTCATTTTGTTTCCTCTTGCGAAACTCTATAAATCTAAAGGAATGGATGTTTACAAACATTTGTCGAAAACTTCCGATTCCTGAGGAAAACAAACGCATCAGCAGACGTCATGGTTTACGGAAGCGAGGAGGCGAACTTGTTTCTTAACCCTTCAGGTAAAACGTTACCTACGTTAACGAAAAGATTAAATTACAATTAATAAACTCACAATAAATAAACATTTCTTCGGTGCAGTTAAACAAGCAGACGAGAGACACTTCTGCCACTTTGTTCACTTTGGAGATTCATCTGAAAACATTGGTGAGTCTACTATTTACTTACTTTATCTACCTGCACAAAATAAACACGTAAATAAAACGTTAGGTTTACCTTACTCTCCGCATTATTATTAATTCTTTTTTTAGTTAAATGTGTTCTTAATATAGTTTGCTTGGTATGGTGAGGTTGTTGTACAAAATAATCTTCCTCTATCGGCAACACGTAATCACAACACAAATCCCTAGCCTGGATCAGCGGCCTACAGTCTAGGCCTTATTTTTAATTATGTCCCACGAAAACACATGCAACACTGAAAATATGCAAATCCAGTGAAATGTGAGATTACAATTGCCTTTGTGTGTGTGTGTTTTCGGTTTTTATAGCATTTAAGGATTATGTCCTCAGTCTTAGGAATACATCTTAAACCCATTTATTGTTCAAACCTCAGGCAGCGTAATAAAAATACTCTCCAACCAACACTATAAACCAGCAGAAATTCATCATTGTTGGTGGACAGTTGAGGCGGTTGGGTTTGGCAACACTTGTAAAGTGCTGAAGGACAAACTGTCCATATTAAACACGTGTTTTGTTGTCTCCAACTGAATGCTTTTCCTGACTTTTCAACCATATTTCACTAGTGCTTCGCTGGCCTTCTGTTGAGGTCAGAGTTATTTGCCTCCCTCGTCCTAATAGTCAGTTGTGTAAAATACCAGTCGACAGTTGTTTAATAACAGGTTTCAGCCAAGTCTTCTAAGCATCTGAGCAGCTGATTGTATTTGTCAAATCTTTTACTATTCACTCTTCACTTTTTCCACAAACTTACTTAATATTTCTTCTGGCCAGATTTTCTATTTCTGGTGTGTGAGACATGTTTGTACATATATGTAAAGATTTTTATTTTCTTTTAAAAACAATATGCATTCTTTGCCGCAGCAGTAGTCCACACAGTTATTGTGCATAATTCTTACAAGGGATGACCTTCCTGATGCATTCAGTGACTAGGTGAAAATCATGCCAAGAACCTTCTACATGGCTGGTGGGAATGGAAAAAAGTTAAATATGTGCATTCTGTGTAGAAACAAATTTGGAAAATACGTAATTAAATGTGCTTAGTTATATAATGTTTTGTTCTTAACTTTACGTACTGTAAGGTCAACCATTCTTTTTTCTGTTAGTGTCAGACTAGTGTCAGAAAGAAAAGATGGTTCCTGGGACTCACAGATGCTGTACTGATCCTGTTGTGTATTTAAGGTTGTTCCAAAGAATTTTTTCAGACAGTCCAACAAGATTACGTATCAACAGAAGTCCTGTTGTGATCACTGGCTGATTTTAAGGCTGTCAGATCTCAGCAAGCTGAAGTCATTGAAGACCCTGGAGCCTTGAGAACACCCTTCACGTTTGCCTCGGTTCAATTGTGAGACCTTGTTGTGTGAGAACAGTAGTTAGACTCTGACACTAATTTATGGTTTTCATGCTTTCTTGGGGATCTTTTCAAAATCTAGAGCTCTGTGTGTGTGTGTGTGTTACGTACCCTCAGGAATTGTGGTGGGTGAGGCAAAGACCTAGGTCATATGACTCATGTTGACTCTGCACTGGTCCAGGGACTATGTGTGCTTGTATCGAAACCAATATTCTTTAAAATTCAAGGACCTACTCTTGGTCTGGTGGTCTGTGGTTTACTGGAATGATTTGTGCTTGTTTGCAGGGGATGTTTTTTTTTATCCACGCCTGCCGTTAGGTGAAACTAAATATTGTGTTAGGGACACAAAAGCATTGTTAACCTGATCATTTGTTCAGCTATTATGAAAAGTGTTTCTCTGCTGCCTTCAGTGAGGTGCCCTTGGGGTAATGTGGAACACCTCCACGGCTGTAGTTATATTTGTGTAATGTTTCACCATCATAGCTGAGGGTTTTGCTCTCCTGTGCTCCAAATGCACCATCAGTCCCTCTAGATCCATTCTTTCTTTTTCATTTACATATAAAGTTGCTGGGGATTTATTGCGTCCACACATGGCTTTTTACTCAAGTTGTGATTTATTGCCTGTTCTTGTGGCGCTTTATTCTAATTGGCCGCCTGAAGAGGTTTTGTTTATTTTTTTTTTTGCATTTGTCCATTTATCATAGCTAACTGCCAGAGGCTGCTGAAGGAAGGTTGGGTGACATCTTTCTGCACAACCTTATTTCTTTCACTCACCTTTTAGGAATAATGCTTCTCTCTACCCCGTGTTGCAATTTCCTGCCACCACAGCAAATATTAGGTTTCACATTAAAGCTTGAGATTGCCTCTGATAGTTTACTCGTCTTTGCCCAATTTTAATTAGGTGTAGGATAATCAATAAGCAAACAGATAGACAAAAACAAAACAAGATTCCTACCACCACATGCTAATTGAATCTACACTTGTGCAAAGTCAATGTCTTTTTACCATTGTCTTGATTCCCTTGCTCTCAAAACAAAATAAAGATAAGAAGATATGTTGGCCGAATGGAGGGAAAAAACTGCTATATCTAGATAACTAGATGACACGCTCACATTTATTGACTACTGTTTGTTACATAAGAATTGTATTTGTTGCTGTGTTTCCTGATATGAGGGACATCCGATATAACACCTGCCTAATAGACCCATTTGATACTAAGGTCAATGGTAAATAAATAAATAGAACTTCTGAGAAATTTCTTTCCCCAAAAGTTTTAGGTTATTCAGCAACCAATGGTTTACCTTCCATGCATCCAGATTCATATGCAAATGGGAGAAGTGGAAATCGAAAACCCATGTTTTAGGTCAATACCTAGGGCAGTGGTTCTCAAGTGACCGAGCCTTCGTTCACACACTTTTAGCTCAGTCTTATGGTGGCAGTGAATAGTGTACCAGAAGCTACAGAGTTTAGTTGTCATGTGAAGAAATGAGTCATTGGTAGTCAGGTTAGACCCACGGCATCTGCTTTTCTCCGTATATTTCTGTCACCTGTGTTGTGTGTGAATAGCAGCATCTAGATAAATATGTATTCATGCAAACATACTGACTACAACTATATTACTGTGCTAAAAATTATGCAGCAACAGCCTGCTTTGTAGTCTCCTGCTCATAGCGGGAATCCTGGAGTCATGTTGTATGACTATAGGTGGTCTTTGGAACACCAGGTTCTGCATAGAAACTATTGGATAACAATTTCTTTACGAGTTCTAAGCCTTTTTATTAAAAGCAAACTTTTTCATTCTTATTAATAAATCTTGATGATTGGCTATTTCACAAAAATATAATTCAGATTCACTGTACTCTTCTCTACAGCAAAGCCAACAAAAAGTAATTTAATATAATTGCAACTTCCAGGTAGTCACCGCTCTTGACCTTCTAACATTGGAGCTGGTTAAGCGGCAGAAACAATATTGAAATATTTGAGTTGGCAGTAGGCTCCATGTTCTTTCCTCTATGGATGGTGTGCAGGAAAAAGGGTGGAGTATGACTAAATCATACCGTTTTAAAGTTAAATAGCCTTAAGTATGTCTCTGACCATAGGAACCCAGAATACGTCTGTACTAAGGCCAGACAATTGATGTGTCTCAGCTGCTTTACACCTGCTTTTGCCTTTCTTTGCTCTTTCTCTCACTGATTGTAATGAATGCTTAGCCTTTTCCTGGCCGGCTTTTTGCAAATACTTGTCGTGAGAATTATCATTAGGGTTTGATTTGATGATGGTAAAGGGCAACAGGTCTGTCTGTCAGAGCAGGGAAAACGTCTGTGGAAAAAAATGTTGCTATGTGAGCAACATTGAAGTGTTTGCTTCTCTTCCTTTCCAATCACAGAGATGACGCCGTTTTCCCTCATCAAAGATGAACCTTGCCAAGGCTCTGGTGTCAGTTTCCTAGCAATGCATTGCTAAGTGGAATTATTTAGGACTCACAATGCATTCACTTCAGACTGTTTGAACCAAAACATAATGAACGGACCGGAACATTAGCAAGTTACATGTGTTGATGTGACGGTGTTTGTAATGATTTGCAGAAGATGTTCAGAGAATCAGCCCCACTCAGAAGATAAGTTCCATGAACTTTTTTTTTTTTTTAACAACAGAGTAAGGGTGGAATTCCCTCTGAGTCATTAGTGTTTTCACTTTGGCTGCAAGAAATCCTTTCCATTTTCTGGGTTTCACTTTTTATGAGTTTGAGCAAAGAACGGCTGGATGTCTACACCAGCTGTCACAGATATATTTTTTTCTCGCTCTGTATCCACCATATTGCCAGTATAGGCTCTCATTTTATTTAAGACCATTTTCATCAGAGGCTGTAAATGTAATGTTTATCCAAATTTAGTGCCTCGGAAACCTCACTTTGGTCACTTTAGCCATGGGAATAGAGTTGCCTCAAAAGAAAATGTTGTTTCACAGGCCTGCACAGCAGGTAGGCTGCCTCAAACGGCAGCTTTGAGGAAAATGCAGCCACAGTGTTTTTGGTCTCCTATCAAGAAGGAACCACAAACATCCGGAGCTGTGGATGAAAAAGAAATGCCACAGTATAGTCAAAATGTGACACCTCCCCTTCCTCAGCCTGATCTGTACAATATGTCTGGTAAGAGTGCATTCCCACGCTATCTTATTGGTGCCAACTCAAAAGTGAACATGAAGCTAAATAGGTTTACTAAGTATGGGAAGAAATGCTACATGCACTTCTTGGAGGCAACTATGCATAATGGGATCATTGTGATATTCTATATTACATTACATTGATTTATAGAGTGTGTAATTCTAATTCCTCAAAAAGCCACCCACTGAGACATCTTACCTTTTTATTAACAGCCTAACAGAGACTTTTATCTAATTATTCAACGCTGAAACTAAATATAAGCTGTAGACCTTTTTTAATGATTAGAAAAATAGTTTCAAGATTATAGCCTCTGACTTCTGTGCAATGACTGCTGTGTTTTGTCTCCCTTTTCCCTAATGGTTTCTGTTACATGGTCTGAATGAATCAGCCTTTGTCTGTTACATCGTGTCAGACAGCGGAAGTCTGTCTCTGAAATCCCCTTTTTTTAAAAATTATTTT